CTCACCATCAAAATCCAATTTTCAATGACTGGACGTTAGTTAAACATGGAGGATTCACTTGCACGCAAGACACCCTAGGTACCTCAGTGCGGGAATGTAATGGAGTTTTGGTTTCTTATGTCTCCGGGAAGGTATTTGCTAATGAGTAAATTGCGGTGTTCACTCGAGGCAAGAGACACTGTCCCCTTGTCGCCTGGTGCTCAGGGAAGTGGGTGGGTTCAGCGCTGCCCTGTGATGGGATACGCTACCAGCGACCTTGGAGTTGTGATCTTTGGGCCATGCAGTAAAAATGCTTTTTTGGTTGAAATAATTCCTGAGACTTCACAGAGCAATAATCTTCAGTAGTTTTTTTGTCTACCTAGGGGATATCTGAGTAAACAACCATTACCTTTAATAGGATGCAGACAAGGGATGGGGAAGCCTCTCTGGTCTTCGCACCCTCTCGAGTCCTACAGGTACGTCAGCTTTAGGAGCAGGGGATGGGTTCAGCGGGTCCAAGCCTCACACTACGTTCAGATCTACTCCCTCTCCAGCCCCCCCAAGCAGCAGGTCTTCCCCAGAGCAATGTGGCATGCCATGTTGAGTATGCAGAGTATGGTCCTAATTTGGATAAGAAAACCTTAATTTGAAAACTGTTTGATGCTTAGGTGTATTTTAACTGTGGCTCAGAATACAATTGCAGAACTTCACGTCAGTGCAACCTGAGCATAAAGCGTGCTGGTCTGTGTGTCCTTGAAGGGTTATTTCAGGGCTAAATTCATGTGGTGTACAGCAGAGTTATGCAGACTTGTCAAAGGGAGAGTACGCGGTGTCCTGACAAAACTGGAATTACGGCGTGAAGATTACTAATGGCAGTTGGTTGTTCTGCCATATGCATGGTGCAGGTGTACCAAAGCACACGCCATCACAATCTGTTCTGCAGTGGTAATCAAGATTCATATATAGAGAGCTGCCCCAGAACACGGCTCCGAGATGCCTGCGTTGGCGCTGATGGTCCCTCAAAGATCCTACCAGCGATTCAAGGAGCTGCTGTCTTTCAGCCAAGGCAACTGGCGGGTCGTGGCCACTGTTAGCCGGTCTGGCTCCACCGGCCACGCGGTTGCTAGCAGTTTTGAAAACAAATCATGGCAACTGTGATGAGACTCGTGCTTCTTTTGTTGTTGTTGTTAGTATTGTAAAGGTTGTATGTGTTTGATAATAAGTGCTGCGTAGTTTATTTCCTGGGTGTCTAGTGATTAATCACAGCTGGCAGAAGATAACTGAAGGAAGGGAAATTTAAAGTGTAAATGGAGAGAAAAAACCAGAAGATTTCAAGTATGTAATCCAGCATGCCACTTTCCTAGTGATCCTTTTTTTTTTTTTTTTTTAAGGTGAAAGTGGAGGGATAGATGTATACGTTACAGCAGTTTTCAAGTACATTTTTCAAAGTGAGGTATTCTAAGTGAGATTCTGCTGCTCATAATGATTCATCCGAGAGGATGGAAATGATTCTTCAGTTCTTTGTAGGTCTGTAGATAAGTCAGTTGAAGAATAGCCCTCTTTGCCACAGCTAGCCGGAGCTGAGTCAATTATAGAAAGGAGTTTTATTAATAGTTAAATTAAATAGTAGCTTCAGTAACGTTAGCCGTGGCAGTAGCCTTAATTGAAGATTATGCCAATGGGTGATTTGTTGTACGTTTTCTTCCATCATTTCAATCAGTAGCACGCCCTTACTGCTGAAACCGTTTGCTTTAACCTCAGTTTTGTTAGCTTTTGGAAATGCTGAAGAATTGGTACACTGTTTTTGAAATGCCTCATACAGTCAGATTCTGGGGCTTTTACTGTGATCGCAATTCAAGTAAGAAATTATATAGACTGGGGAATCAGTGAATGAGAGTATAAAGACTTTGCTGGTGCTGAGCGTAGAGATAGGATTGGCTATATGTGCTTCAAGCTTATGCCTGACTGCTCAGGGCCTTCAGGCTGTAGTGCTGTCTGCATTGGGACGCTGCTTTACTCTTTAAATGCTGAGGTAGAGTGACACTGGTGTGGCAGATGGCACCGCATAGATTTCTGATACATCACAGTTTTTTGGCTGTTGTCCTTATGGCAGCTGTGTCTGGTTAGGGAGCTCAAAAATGCCTGACAATAATTACCTTTAATTTCTGCAGGCGGCATCGTGGTGGTTTTGGGACTGTGTTTATTGTTTTCTGTTTGTTCCTCAGTACTCTTTCTGCCTTCGTTACGCTTCTGATACAACTGTTCAGTAGAAGTTTGTGTTGTGTTTTGTTTTTATACAGCGCCCTGGATAATTTTTTGTCTTGTCTTTTCACTGAACATTTTACTAAAGGTCTGAATTCACTTGCCATTCCCTGTTTATCTCCTTAAGAATAGCTTCTTTACTTTTTTGTATATTTAAACTAAGAAAGTTTTATGACTTACAGTATCAAGAACCTGTATAAATACTGAGCCAGACAAAAATATTTACTGGGATATTGGTTCATGTAGATGTATGTGGGTAATTACAAATGATAAAATGTTATTTTAAAAAAACTCCATGTTTTTTTGTAACCTTGAAAATAAATGTGAATTTTTTGCAAATTGATTAGAAGTACAAAGTGAAAAGAGAGGAGGCTGTGAGTGGGTACACATTCTGAAAATGCTCAGTGATGGCTGTACCTCAAAACTTGGAATTAGTTGGGATAAGGAGGAAAAGTGCAGATGTGCAGGTAGGCAGGCAAATCACACAGGTGCCTGGAAACCTTGGGAACAGTAAATTCCTCAGAAGACTTGTGCTGACGCTTGTTTTTTGAACTTCCTGAAAATAATGAGAGGTTCACTGCAAGAGCAATCCCACTTCCTTTCCCTAGGAAAAAAGTGGAAAAGTTTATAGACGATTCTATTTCATCTTCTCCAGAAAGTGTGTGAACAGTTTTATCATTCGAGATGTATTCTTTGATGGATGAAGTGAGTGATGTCAGCCGGAGAATTTGTACAAACAGGAGTTTAAACTTCAGGATTTTATATCTGCTTGATAAAAAAAACCAAAAACCTGTAGCATTTGCAAAAGAACTTTAAAGAGTATTAGAGGGAAAAAAAAAAATTAAATAAAAACTGAGTATTGTTACGGTATAATGATCTTCTGTGTGAAGTGAGGACTGCATTAAATGACCTGAAAGACAAGATTGTTGATGATGCTTTGTGGACTTACTTTTATATGTTTGTTATTAGCGTATATTAATAATGAAATCAATATAGTTTTTCACATACCAATGACAAAACAGTAAAACAAATGCCTAATTAGTGTAGGTAATATTTGTTAGTTCTGGCATCGGTGCTTTGGGAATATGAGTGTGTAACTGCGGTTTGTTTCTGTGAATGTTGAGAGGCTCTTAGGCAAGACGGGAGGAGGAAGACAGATGGCCTGGAGAGAAGAAGGCCTGTGTAACTCCCATGTCGTAACTTGTCATCTCCAACTTACCGATATTAATCAGGAATATCTTCGCTGAAGTCATCTCAATTGCTGTATCCATATGTGATAATACGTGTCCCTCCTCTACGGAGTTGGAGTCTATTGATTACTTGCTTACTTAATTCATATTAAAATAATGAGAACTTTTGTGAAGCCTGCTACAGGAGGAGCAGAGCTAATCTAAACGTCAAATTCATAGCAGCTTTTAAAAGAAAGTGTTTTAATTTATGGATGTGTGGCAGTATAGGATGTGAAAATTATTAGTTCACTTTAATCAGGATCTATCAGTAAGCAGTATTTTGCAGAAACAGCAGATTATTTAATGCTGGTATGATGTATGATATCTTTGTGGGTTGATGCAACATGCACCACTGACAAAAAATCAAGGGGTTTTGGGCAAATGCAATTCAGTGATTTTGTGGAACTATGGCAGTCAATTACAAGATAGCTGATATGAAGCATTTAGCTTGCTTTTTAGCAAATGACAAAGGCAAGTCATACTATATGGTGAGGAAGACAGTAAACCCATTTAATCCATAACTGAATGAATAAAGAATTACACCTGTAGATGTCTTTTTGGTTACATGGCCTTATCCTCTGCATTCTCCTGCAAGACAGGTGAACTTCAGATAAGATACTTTCAGTCACATCTTGCCCAGAGTAAAAGTAATTCAATACTGTCCGGAAGAAAATCTGATCTCTTACTGACCAAGTCAAAATGATAAAACTTAAAAAGTTTACTCTTATGAAAAAAAGATGTTGGGAATCTAAATAATAATAAAATAAATTATGATGATGATGGTAACCTGTAGCCTGACGCTACTCTACTTCTTTTACTATTGGAAATTAATTGGTTTTTAGTCGCTTGAAAATCTTCTACCACTCACCCCCCTTAATTCTGTAAATTTGTGCTGGTCTTAATGGTCTCTTAAAGGTGGGATTGCATTTGTAATTACCTATATTGTACTTTTCTAACATTTCCAGTGTAGTATTTTCCAGTAGCAATAATGCTACCAAACCAACAGACTAGAGAAAAAGACAAAATAATATTTGGATATATAATATAATAGTACAGCATCGATTGTTCCATGTTAATTGGCTTCGAGCTGTTGAAATTAAGGTAAACTGTCTCTTAACTAGTGTACTTGGAAATTTTGTAGCAGCTCAATAAGTCAAGCAGAAAGTGATTGAAGTGACAAAATGATCAAAGTGACAGGAAATTATATTTAAAAGTATAATAAAAAGGAATACCAGAAAATAAATGTTTCTTTATGCTATCTATACCTGTGTAAAAAAAAAAAAAAAAAAGAAAAAAAAAAGAAACAGAAACATGAAAGAATTTAAAAAAAAAAAAAAATCCTTAGAATGGTGTACCAAAATAATTCGACTTTAAAATAAAGGTGGTATTCGGAATAACATTACATAACTGGACTAAGAATGTGTATTGAAATTATGTGACGACTTCTCACTGAAAGGAATTGTTTTGTTCTTCATATTTTTCAGTGCTGTATTGTATGGTATAATACTGCATTTTATGTATTTATATTTTTCCAGGTCTGACAGCGGCTGCCATGGCAGAGGCTATGAAGTTACAGAAGATGAAACTTATGGCAATGAATAGCCTTCATGGAAGTGGAAGTCAAAATGGAACAGAATCAGAAAATGAAGAGCTCAATTCTAATGCAGGTAAGTAATGCTGTGCATGTGAGCTGTAGGGGAGCTCTTAATACCTGGTTTTGTGCTTGGGAAACAAAATCAAACATCTGTCTCAAATTCTTGTGTTCTTTTATTTTGTAAGCTTTGTTCTGCCAGTGTCAAATCAAAATTACTGCACCCATTCCTCCAGTATTCCTCCAGTTTTCCTCCTAACAGCCATCTTCATTAATTTTTTGAAAAAATATTGGTGAAGGATTTTTTCATTATGTTAGAATACAAACATTTTAAACTGTTCCCTAAATATATTTGTAGTAACAAAAGACTTCTCTATTGGCAATAATACAGTGAGTCTAGAGTTTTCCTGTAAATGATGGAAAGTTTCCAAAACATCAGGTGGTTGGAACTCATGAGTTCCACAGTTCACTGGAGAAAGGAAAAGTAGGGAATGCAAAATCACCAACTTTCTGGCTTTTCTGCATTCTGATCTTTCCTTGAATGGATATTTGCAAACCACAGCTATGAAGGAGAGTCATGATAAACGTTTGTTATGGCCTACCTGGCTGGAATAACCTTGGGTAGAAGGCACTGACACTGAACACTGTTCAGTCTGTACTACTACAAGCGTTAGGATAAACTTGAACGAAGCTCCCCGAGTCCCAGGTCCACAAGAGTAGGGTTCAATAAGTCAGAAATGGGTCCTCTGAAGAGGATATCTTCTTTGTTTATTCTAAAGTTCTTTTCAAGCGAATGGAAGAGATTTTTACTTGGATAGTGTAGAGAACCTAGAGTAAGATAGATCCATTTGGTCTCAGAAAGCTGCTAGATGCCTATTACAACAAGGGCAGGTTCACTTGGACTCACTTCTTTGACACAAACAATCCCGCAGCACACTCCTACCCTTTTTGAAACTTATGCATCCTTTGTTTTCATTATCAATTCAAGAACAGAGGCATTGTCTGATCCCTCATTGCATTCCGATCTCCCATCAGCATTCACACGTCTCTGAAGTCACACATGCGTCTCTAAAGATGAAGCTGCTCTAACAGTTTGCTTGCTTGGATGGTGTATAGCGTATATGCATTGTACCATCAAAATGGTAATTTATTAGACCAATAAAGCAGCAGCTGGGAGGTCTTAGACTCATTTTCTAAAGGAATAACTTTGAATTCATGACAAATTATACACAAAGCAGTCTTTCCAAAAGTGGTATTGCCTTTTGCTAATTTTGTGTACTCATCTGTATTGAAGAAATCTGGCTTCTAATTCATGCATTAAACCCTTCCCTGGCTTTCTATTATGTAGGATATGTATTTCTTATTCACCTCCCAGACCCTAATCAATTAGTGCATATTGAATTCAGAAAAAAAGCACTGAAAAAGCATATTTAGTTTGTGTAACTCTTATAGTCTGTATATAGTTCAAAATGAATTATGAAGTTTCACTGAATGCTAAGAAATATGTGTCAAGATAGAATTCCTACAGAAAAGCAAGGAAGCGTCATGCAGAAAAGATGTAGGATCAGTATTAGGGTTTTTAAAAGCTGCTGTACAAAAGCTTGCTAATTTGAATGTTCATGGTTTGGTGTATTACCTGATGTGGCAAAATTTATATACTTCATATGGGGAGAATCTACAGTACATTAATATTATTATTTTAGGTACCTTGTTGACAAGTTTTATGGGGGACTATCATACCAACCTTTTGACAATACATCAGGAGTATGCATATTAAGTGAAAGTTCTCTGTGGTTTAGCAATTCAATGAGTTCTATGACTGACTCAATACCAATTTAAATATTTGGAAAAATTCCCACTGACTTTAGCTGAAGTTACAGTGGGGCCCAAGGATAAGGATATGGTATCAGTTATGTAAAGATCTTTTCTCAATTCTTTCTCCTTTTCATTGCCTGATTCAGTAAAATTGCCAAGAGCAAATTTGCTGGGTTGAATGCCGGTATTGCTTGCAGACAAAGAAATAAGTCCTTAACAAAAAGAACTACTACTAATCGTACTAAAAATCACAGTTTCCCCTCTTTTTAGTATCTGCAGTGCCAGCATTAGGATCATTTTGTAATGCATGGCTTCTCTCTTTATTGGAGGATCATTTTTTCAAGATCTGCATTAAGCAGATACAGCAGGATGTGTCAAAAAGGAAAACCAAAATGAAAGGAATGTAAAAATTACACATTTCACTCTACAAAATAACTGAGGAATTATCAAATATTCACTACAGAAAACTCATTGGAGATTGAGGTAGGGCATGAGGAGAGTGGGCATTTTGTTTAGAAGTTAATACACATTTTGCAACTTTGATTCACTGCGGAGAGAACACCATGATAATTCTGTGTGCATGAGACCTTTACCAAACGTTTGTTTTGCTCCAGACTCTTACAGTTTAAACAACTATTAAAAACAAAATGGAGATGTGAAATGAGAAAGAAAATTGAATTTTGAAATTTTTTTTTACTAAGAAGAGGTAAAAAGAAACAGAGCAAAGGAGTCAAAAGCCTCATAAGTGAGAAAAACATTTTATTTTAGGAGAGAGACCTACAGTTTCTTTGATTTGAGGTTGTGTTTAATAGCTTCTGTAATGGCTGCAACATGACTCTGCATCTAGATTTCAGCATGAATAACAACCTGTTCGTGTTTCATTTAGCTCCAAATGAGAAATTCTGTCTTTTATTGTTTTAGGAAATTAGTCTGTGTACTGTTGCTCCTGGAACTTTATAATTAATCACTAAAGGTTATGGCTGTGGAGAGTTTGTGGGAAATAGATGTCTGAATGATTATAATTGTAGCTGTCAAATCAAAAATATAGTTATACAGAGCAGAGGACCTTTTACTTCCTTTGATTTTTTTTTTCTTTTTACTGTAACAAAGACTTGAAGGGTTGCAGGTTTTTTACTTAAAAAAACAACTGCAAAGATTGTTGGCTTTTTACCTCAGTGTTACACATTGACTTTCTTTGGCGAGCGTAAGATACGACACCACTAAATATTTCACATTAGGATGTGTGCCTTCCTCCTCATGCTGTACTCATCTGAGTGGAATAGCCTCTTTTGCTGTTGTTTGTTTTGAATTAAAAATGTAATTGATCAGTATTAATTCCTGAATCTTTATTGCCAGCTTTTTTTGGAAGTGTGTCATTATATACAGGCCATTAGTATAGTAAAAACATGGTGAGGATATCTTATTAATTTCAATCCCCATCTGTATCTGTTGAAATCTGTATAAAATAATTTTGGATTTGCTTCTTTAGTAATGCCTAGAGTGTCACTTCTGTGGTTTCTTTTTCTCTGTGTGTGCACCTATGATGATGGAAATTTTTCAAGGAATTTCTATAGCTGAAGCCAGAATTCATGCTATCAATTTAAAATCTGAAGTCTAACTCTCAGGATCACTGACTGTAATTCCTCAGATATTATATTGTCCTCTAGGAAATTACAGGTGTGGAACTGAGTCTTACAAGTGTGTCTAAGGAGGTGGGGAGTGAATGTGCCACTTCTTTTCCTGCTTCTAGTCCAGCTAGTATGCTTTTGCCATCAGGTCCTACCTACCTCCTCTTCGTGATATTACAATGATCTCAGTAATGGTGGTGTTTAGTACGGGAATATTCAAAATAACTTATTAAAAAAAGAAAAAATGCTGCGAGAGACAATATTGAAACTGTGGGGAGAAAAAAGTACCAAAAAAAAAAAAAATTTGCATGGATTTTTTTAAGTTGAAGTAATGCATTAGTTCACGGTTCTGTGAAGAATGTTGTTATACATTTGAACATTAATGTCCTCCTCATACTCTCTGCAGAAGAGAAAGAGATTTTTTTGCACCTTCCTACTCATCATATGAAGTGTTGAAGAGAACTTCTCAGGCAGTTGAAAAATCTGATATTTAATCTGGCACTACAGGTTCTCTGGCCCCATAGTCCAGCCGATCTGTGCTAGCTGTTCCTTGTGGCTTAGCGGCTGTCTCCATCTTCTTGTAGGATCTGGGAAGGAAGGTTGAGTTTAGAGAACCACATAGTTGGGGACATAGGTGTCTGGAAGTAGGAGGAACTACGTCCCTCTGAAATCTCAAATTCCCAGTGGCCATAAGTCTTTCAAAGTCCTATTCCTCCTCTTTGGCTAATCCATGTGAGTCCTTGGGGCCGAGACGCTTTGTTGATGGCACTCGGAGCACGCATCTGAGGATTGCCTGGAGCCCAGAGGGTTGCCGTAGCTAAGGCATGCTCTAAAGCATGACGGATAATACGTGCCAGGAGTGATGTGGCCTCTCATACTCCGCTTGGAAAATGAGTAAGAGCAAGAGTTTGAAGCTGGCAGCTGAAGGCCAGCTATGCTGGATGTGTGTGCAGATCTCTCGAAGCCCAGCCACGTAATCAGTCTTCTTGTTCTAGAGAAATAAGATAAACAAAACGAAACCTCTCTGGTTGTACAGAAGTGTTTATAAAGATCATCGGCTTCATCATCATGCAATACTAATATTAGGTGAAGTGTATTCTGGAAATTAGCATATCATTGCCTGGGGAAATTTGAAACTTACTTGAAATCAGAGGCTTTTTTTTAAGAGCGTAGCAGCAGGTAATTTGTACAAGTATGCGATAGAACTGGAACGTGAAGGATAGATTGCAAAATACGGTATTGGTGATGCTACCCGAACATCCTTTAAGGACGCTGTGTTACGCAGCTGCATAAGCAAAGAAGGAGCAGTGCGTAGCAATCCGTGACAGTACCTGTTTGTACAAAACCTCAGTGCAAAGAATAAAGCAGTTATTTCCTTCTCTTGGCTTTTGGAGTTAACATGCATGATTTAATAAATGTGTTTTGCTTTCCCAAGAGAGATATCAAACAGTACTAAGTGTTTCAGTGGTATTTCCTTAGGAAGTCAAAATGTTATTCTGTATGTAGAGGCTTGTTGCTTAATTTCCAGACAAGGAGCTAAGTTAGGCAGAAAAGAAAGGAAAAACGCCCTAGCTTTTGGCATATGAGGATCAGAGAAAAACCTCTTCATAGGGGGGGAAAAAAAAAGTGTTAT